GAAAAGCAATGACAATTTAGGAGATTGTGGTCAGAATACTGACACTGAAATGTCAGTTTCCCCTTCCTCCTCTTGCTGCACTGCTTACATGATGATGTACCATGCTTTTGTTTCTTCCTGACTCGAAGACATCAGTAAGATACAACTTCTCTCTAACACCACTTTCTGATGGATCAACTGCTCACTCAGCAAAATCACACAGCCAGCACAAACATAATGCCACGTTCTGTCAACAGCTGCAACAGAGCGAACTTTATTTCTGTAAAGTAACATTGAGTCCAGACTTTCCTCACCCAAACAGCCCACATTGTAGCTGCCACAGTTCTTTTTCCTTTCTGCCTGTTCAAAGCAGACCATTAGTTCCACTCCAGCTATCATGCAGGTAATAATTTATACTTAGCAAATTAAGAAAAAACAAATTTCAGAAAGCCAATCCTTACTGGAATTTTTCCAAAGAAATATCAACTTAACCACTTCTTTTAGTCTATTCACACTTCTGTTTTTTGAACATAATACAGTTAAAGTGTAGAGTTGTAACTATAGAGACAAGGCACAATAAACACAAGTTAACTCACGAAGTCTGTGTATGAAAAGCACGACCGTTTGTCTGTGTTCCCTATTCACAGAGCTGGAAGGAGAGTCCCAGCTAAAAAATGCAGTGCCTGTACAGCTCCAGCATCACACAATTAGTACTTGTCATCCTTGGAGCTCAAAATAACACAGTGTGTTCGTTTGCAGAGGAAAGAATGCATTTTCTTAACAAAATTGGATCTCTGTACTGATAGTGCCAAGTCCACCAATAAGATTCAGGTTTATAAAAGTGAGAATTAAAGATACTGCCAGACAACCAAGTGAGAATTAATCAAATAAGTTGGAAACTAATGAAAATAAATACGCATTTTAGTGTAAATCTTGAGCCCAGTTCTGCTCCTCAATTTCTTAAGACAAAATATTCAGAGACAATAGTAATGTCAACAGACAGCAAAACTAGCACAAGGTACCTCTCCTTTGCTGATCAGAGGGCAGTGACACTGTAAAGCATTATTTTATCTGAGATGCCTGCAGACATCAGCCCATTGTTACTTGGCACCCACAACAGGCACACTTGGGGTCCCAGAACCAAGCAGCAGAGGCTGTATGTGCTTGCTGGTGGCCAGCTTCAAAACAGGGTCACAAATCAACTGCCCCAAATGAGACAGGGCAAACCAGATACTGTCAGCACCTGGCACAGCTGTCAGTGTGGAATACTGACATCCCAGTGCACTTGGGGAGCATAATCCAACAGATCTTGCAAGGAATAGGCCCAAATCCCCAGAGAGTCTGCCCACACGGCCACATAAACCTGTTTTAGTCATCCACTGATGACCAACAGTGGTGCCTCCTGCCTCCCTCCCTTCCTCCCACACCTCTGCCTGCTGTTTCCCCTTGTTAGAAGGGTTACTAATATTGATCTATATAACAAAGCATGCTGCGAGATCACCGATTTTTTGTGGGTCCAATGAGTCCAAAACATTTACTTTTTTCAATTTTTTCTTCTTTGCACAAATTCAGTTATTTTCCCTTTTGTTAGGAGCCTAAAGCATAGAGAACAGCATTTTCAACCTCATCAATACGAATACATACATATAAATCCAGCAGATGCTGTTGAATTTCTTCTAATTCTGACAGTCTGCATAAGTGCCTGGTGCATGACCAGTCTGCTCTTTCTCCTTCAACATAAATATTGTAAAAAATAAAAACAAACCAGGACAGACCTTTCAGGCAAATAATTACAGACATTTTGCAGAGTTACTTTAAATGTCCCTGGTAAAAGATCTGCCATAGGTTTTGTTCAAGTCTAAATACAATCTTAATGGCTCTGTCTTTAACCAAACAATATGTCTAGCCAAAGACTTTCAGTACACTGGGGAGGTATGATTATACAGTCCACAAAACCCATGCTGTTCTGTCCCTGTCACGCCCTTCTCTGTCCTATGAAGTGTCTGACGTTTTTAATTTTAGTGCTAACTGCAACCTTTTTTCCAGAACTGAAATAACTCTTGCTGAGTTCATTGTTCGATCCTGTCTGTAAGTAAAGCAAAATCAGTACAAGCTCTGCTGAACCCTACTGCCCAGCAGAATTGCTGGTTTTAATGAGCCCGGGTGTAATGAATCTGTGTTCAATCACTTCATTCTTAGCAAGACCCAGGACTCTCGGGTGCACGCCATCTGCTCCGACTGACCCGGCTGCTCTTGGATTTTTTCCATTTATTCCAGCATTTCCTCTTCTGCCACATGCTCTGGCATTCCCTACCTGCTCTCTGTTACCTAGCCTATTTCATCCACGTAACTTCTTGGATTAAGCCAATTAACCTTTAAACCAAACCCTTGCCTGTTTGCTGTCTGAGAGCACACACCACTGCTTTTCCCCTAGGAATTGATATCCCAGGATGCACCCACTGATTTTTGTCTTAAAAGCAAACCCTGCCATTACATGTAAGGAAGTAGAGAGAGATTTCCTGTGATGCTCATGAGCATCATCCTGATGAGTAATAAATTTCAATCAAAGAGTATAAGGAAAAGCTCCTTCTTTTTCAAAGATTTATCCCACTTATTACACAAGTACAACTGAAGACAACAGCACAGGTTTGAGACTGCCACAGCACTAAATGTCAGTTCTGGAAGCATCCTGATTTGTAAAACCACTCCTCAATGAATGCCTTGAGAATAAAAAGCTGCAAATTGCACATTGCTTACAAAACCATCCATAACTGTCTCTTGCTAGAGCCCAGGCAAGGCCAGAGAATTGTGTTTAGTACCTTCTGGACTGTGCTGGCTTCACTTAGTAGAAATCCAGAGTTGGTTTCCAAACCAAATCTCCCCATTTCTGACATGAATAAACTCAGCATGACCATTTCTCAGTCAGTCAGTAGGGATGCTGCCTGTATACAAAGCACTAAAAGTGACAGATGGTGATTTTAAAAAGCATTAAAAAAAAACAAAAAATGCTGATACTCAAAAATTATTTCAAAGAAAGCACGTTATCTTAATGCAAATGAGCTGTCTTGGTCTAAAACAGGTGTTCCCTGTACTAGCAGAAAATGTATACCAGGAATCTCTGTGTATTGCTCCCCTGTTAGAATGGTAGGATTTTTTAATGTGAAAATATTAAATTGCATTTTTGGAATATAATAAGATAAAACATCAGAAAAACATCTCAAATAACATTGTGGGATTTTCCCTTTCAAAACATCCCCATTTGCGATTTTTTTTTACCTCATTGCATTAATTAATTTTTCCTGAAGTCTCAGGACGTGTAAGAATACCTGACAGCAGTGGGTTCTGAGGACAGGCACACCAGCAGCAGAGCAGAATGCCACTGTGATTAGTGCCCTATAAACAAGAGGGGGAGGGAAGGAAGGAAAAAGTGAAACAGACCCAGATCCCACAGGCCTTATTATCTCAATATTCCTGAAGCCAATTACAGGCTTCTTTGCCAGTAATGCTCTCACCACAGCATAAATGTACCTGGAAATAATCAAAAATAGTTTAAAAAACTCCAGAATGTCAAAACCAACCAACAAATAAATCCAAAAACAAAACCAAAATCAATACCTCACCATTTCCAGGTTTAAATAACACATTAGTACCAAAACAACCCTGAAAACAAACTATGATAATAACATAATGATAAATTTCACGTAAATTATAGGGTAAGAACTACATAGCTAAAATATGAGGGTTTTTCCATACTTCTTTGAAAAATTAAGTGGCTATTTAGATAAGCCTTTTTATTTGAAATTAAATGTCCTGTTCTTCCTCTTTGCAAAAAGAGGAAAGCGGAAGAACACTCCTAGTGCTGTATCTATGCAAAATCTCTACTTTCACTACTCCATTCACCTGCAAGACCAAGGTCACAGTGTGGCTCCACACAAGGTAGTAATACAGCACTTGGTAAGATTTTTGTTTAACTGATCTGGTAAAGAGCACAAATAGGAAGAAAAATATCCTTGAAACACCACAATTTTCATTCAGAAGCCATTAAGAGATGATCTGCCAGCTATGAGGACAGTAGTAGAGCTTGCTGCCTCTGGACAGTGCCTAGGTACATGACCTCCATTTCATCACAACTTTCTCCTGCTTGATCAGTAAAAGCTATTGAAGAACAAAATTTCTGGAAATAAAAGTTAAATTAATAAATAAATAAACTATCAGGAATACCCTATCTCTGTTCAGGAAGTATTAGGCAACTACAATGCGTTAGTTAAATTACTAATCTGCAGGTGGAGAAGACCCAAGTCCGGTTCCTCCCTGTTCCTGGAAACTGGCTGGCACAAGCCTTCTCCCACCCCGGACAAGCTTTTCCTCAAAAAGCAGCAGGGCTCCGCCTCACAGCCCCTGCTTCTGTGGGGGGACCACTTCTGGGGCTCTGCTGCTCTGACCGGGGAGACCCTCGCACTTCGCACCAAAAACTGACATAAAACACCGCAACATCATTTTACCCGCGGGTTTTTTTTTTTTTCCCACTGAAACCACATTTAGGAAAAAACCCTCAGTGGTAAACCAGGAATTTAGCACATGGCACGTCCTTTCATACAACTGCTTTTATGACTTTCGGGGCCCTTTTGAGAAAGACGACGGCACTACCGACCTGACAGGGAGAGCCGCGCAGTGCCCGGCACAGAGGGGCACGGCGGCCCCTCAGAACCCCCCAGAGCCGCGGAGCCGGCACTGCCAGCGCCTGTCTGGAGGAGGCAAGCGAGCACGGAGCAGCCCCAGCTCCGCCGCTGCGGGCGGGACCGGCCCCGCTCCGCTCTGCCCCGCCGCCGACAGGGCTGTGCCCCGTCCCGGCCCCGCGGGCAGCGCAGGGGCACCGGCCCGCCCGCAGCCCCCAACTTCCAGCGGAGGCAGCGCCAGCCCCTCTCCCGAAGGGCTGCGGGAGCAGGTCCCGTCCCGCACCCCTCAAAACGCCCGCGCCCCGCAGCTCCGGGAGGAGCCGGACCGGACAGCCCCGGACCCACCTGGTGCAGCGTGTCCGGGGGCAGCTGCGAGGCCCGGAACAGCTCGCCCACGCTGCTCCCCCCTGCGGCCGCCTCTGGGGGCGGGCAGCACCGCGAGAAGAGCTCGGAGTAGCGCTGCTGCTCGGTCTCGCTCAGGGGCAGCAGCAGACCCCCGGTACCGGCAGCAGCGGCGGCGGCAGCACCGGGACCGCACCCCCCCGCGGGCCCCTGCTCCATGGCGGGGCGGCGCAGGCACAGCCGCTCGGGCGGGCAGCGGGTGCCGCGCCGCCGTGTCTCATACTGGTTTTTGCAGCCTTTCCTCCCAGCAGTTCTTTAGGGAATTTCAACGAATAAGCTAATCACAGATATTTACAAGGTGATCCTTGTAAATATCTGTGACCCACAGAGGAGTCAAGAAGTTCTCTTCACAGCAGCTTTGGTGCGTAGACATGGCCTGGCCCAGGAGAAATCAGACTACCTCCTGTTTGTTTCTGTCCTGTACCATTAGCAATGTCAGGCCAGCGTTGTTACCTGTGTTCCTGAATGCAAAACATTTGGGAAGTCAATGTGGTTTAATTTTTATATGCTTCTTTACTATTAATTATATGCTTCTTTACTATTAATTCAGGGGGAAAAAAATCCAAATGTAATAATCTTACATAACATTTTTACTAAAAAATAGTTCAATTTACAGTCTGTAAAGCCAAAAATAAAATTACTAGCTTGCCACTTCTGTTTTTGTTAACCAAATATTGTTACCTCTTTTTAAAATCCTTTTTTAAGCTACTTTATCATCTTTACACCACATATCTGTGCCTCCTTCTCACTTGCACAAAACATGCAAACTCTTAATTCCTCTAATCCAAATCGAGGATCTGTTCCTGCCATCTCAATGTGTGGAATGCTGAATGGTTGTTAGATACAGCTATTGGCAGGTGAATAATTTACACATGTGTTTAAGGCCAGAGTTTTATGGAGAAGAATTTTTTCTTTTAGGGACAGAGATTGTCATAGTATCTTCTCATTTAAAAACATATGGTTATGCAGGAGGGCAAGACTATTTCAGCAACTGAATCTTGTAGCCCAACTTAAAGTGGCAAATACCTGTAGTAGCTCAAAAAAATTAAGCAAGTTCTCTTGAGAAGGCTCTGCAGAGCAGAGAGTGAATGACCCCCTGACTGCAAGGTACATCACCTGGAGAGTCCTACAATGTCACTAGCCTTTTCCTGTATCTCCAGCCAGGTACAAGGTACTGCTCTCAGGAAATGGTGCCAGCCATGTGGAGAGGATGTAGGGCCGTTCCTAACTATTGCCATGTTTAACTATATGACTCTCATGGTAAAATATCTTCAGCCTAGCTTATGGAAGAACAGCTGGCTTCCACGTGAACTTGAACAGGACAGATTTTGTCCTGACAAGCAAAAGAAAACACTGTGAATAGTTTGTGCAAATTGTGCATTTTTCTGTGCCTGAAAATGCTCATTTGTAGCTGAGCAGCTCAGTACTTGTGATGTCTCATCACAACAAGTACGCCCTTTGCCAACACTCCAGCAGTCACCATTTGATCTTGGTTGATGTGTTAGCCAATCCTTCAAAGTTTTGCTAAGGTGGAACCTGGCAGGAAGATTTTTGAAACACACACTGTCAAGAACACAATAGTCTGTTTCACCAGCCACACCTCTTACTGCCAACACACACATCTGGGTTTTTTTTGTTTGTATTTTTTTTTTTCTGCTTTGGACATTTTTCTCTTCTTCCTTGACCTTTAAAACTTGCATTCCTCTCTCCATACAGCTCACTCTCATCAGAAGTTACACAGTGGCTGTGTTCACAACCAGTCTACCCCAGTGTTGTTATCTCCAACATGTCTCCAGGACATGAAAGTGAACCACCACAAGCTGAGGGGGGAGGCAGGGAAGCCCATGCCTCTTATTCCTGCAAAGTCCGTGTGAGCTGAGAGGTGCACCTGGTGTGAGCTGACCGCCCTGCTCGCCTTTGGGGAATACAGGGGGTGGGTGCTCAGGTGTCTGCCTGCTCCCTGCAGGTGTTCTGCGCTCAGCAATGCCAACCTCACTGATTTTGTCTGCTGCACCCACTCCTTATGGGGAGTTCCAGCCCACCCCATGTGTCAGAGCCACTTTCTGTACAGTCCAGTGCACCCTGTGCAATGATATTTAGGGCCTTTGTGTGCCTTAAAGTTCTTGTGAGGGTACATTAGTTCAGACTAAGAGGCACTTAATGATAACAAAAGCCATACAAATGTCATAGGAAGAGATATTCAGCCTTCCTGTTTACATGGAAGTTGTGACATCACTACAGGTTACAAAGCTTCCCTACAACTCAGAAACACTGCATCTCAGTATCAGAATCTGAACAACCCAAGTATTTATTTTTTCCTGGAAAAAAAATAGTCAGTGATGTAAACTGAATTGAAATCTGACTTATCAAAGTATGGCTTAGATCTGTGTGTGGTCCTCCTTCCCTCTCCACCCAACTAGTAATGCAATTACTTGCTCTGAAGTCAGCCAGCAGCAGTCCTGCAAACAATTGTGTGATCACATGTGGGAGGGAGACAGAGGTCATAGTAAAAAAAAAATAAAAAAAAAAAAAACCAAAACAAAAACAAATACTACTTCCAAAGATGTGCTAATGGAAATAACAGTAATATGGATGATAGGCATATTTTTGTTCAGGATATAAATTGGTATAAATTGTCATGTATAATATGACATAAAACATAACCTCCAGTAAAAAAATTCTCCCAGTATTTTAGTATGTAGGAGATCCTGGGAAATTTTATTTGATCAGTACAACCAAACACTAGTCACTCAAATTGATGTGTTATTTCACAAGTCTTAGGGTTGAGATCATGTCAGACTTGTCCTGGCCCAAAAGACATGAGATCTGCATTCCAGCTGACAGTGGAAACACTCCATATATCATCAAGTAAAGCTTTGGAAACTCATGCAAATGGTTGGCTGGAAAACTGATTTAGCTTTTCCCAAACCAGCTCAAGTGAATCTCACCCATTGTTCCTCGTAACATTTTATTTACTTTCTTTGCAAAATCAAAGAAGAATTTGATGGCAAGCAACTGGTGGGGCATGTTTCCTGACCTTGGTATCAGACATGCTTGGAATATATTTGACAAACCTGCTGTTTAGTATATAGATTCAGCATGCAAATACTCATATTCTTCTTTGCATTGTTGCTTACGTGAAGAGATCCTGTTTCTGAGAAAAATTGGAGAAACGCTTAATGAACTGTACAATTTGATTTCCTATTCTCCAGCTTATTAGCACCTTTAATGCATGAAAGACTAAGAAATAGTAACTGTTTTTTACTCTGACCAATTCATTGTTTTCAAAAATTAGATGGCATCATAAATTGCACATTGTGGAAGATGCAATTCCTGACAGATTGTTTTCTGTAAGCAACTGAGTGCATAATGGAGAATTAGAGTTTGTGTCACAAAATATTTGATAAATATCCATATATTAATTAGTTGGGAGGAGAGGAGCAAAGGAGGGAAACAGGACCACACAGAGATCTAAGCCATACTTTCATAAGTCAAATTTCAATCCAGTTTACATAACTGACATTATTTTTTCTAGCAAACAATAAATACTTGAATTGTTTTGATTTACTGGTATGTACAGTTTCTTGGTTCCAGGAAAGCTTTGTAACTTAAAATGATATTACAACTAGTTATGTTTAGAGAGTCTTTTCCTAAAGTCCTTTTAAGAAGATTTATGCATGTAGTATGAGCTTTAGTTCCAGAAGGCAAAGCCCATGCACACATCTTTGCAGGAGCAAGAACAAAAAAAGTACAGTGCTTTTCAGGTACCTTTTCAGGAAAGTACAGCTGAATTTCCATTAAGTTTCATCACAGTGCCTCCACAGTCTATTTCTTTTAAAATAATGGCTTCGTGTGAAATTGAAAAACAGTTTAAGTGCATGTTTGTTTTTAGTTTAGTTTTGAAATATCCACTTACTTTTGTATTCCACAGAAGCAAAAGATCACTCAACAAACCAAGCACTAGAACATGTTTTTCCTCTATCATTTGTCCTTCAACTTAGGAAATTCACAAAGCCTTCAGCAACTATTCAAACACCAGATTTCACCCAGAACACACCAAACCTTACTTTGCAGGGTGATCATTCCTAAAGGTCCTACCATCAGACACTTGAATGCCTGAACCAAGAAATGCTGCTGGGAAAAATCTATGTGATCCCGGAAGTCCCGCACAGAAAATAAAAATAAAAATAAGCAAATAAATAAAGTAAAATAAGGACTTATTAATGTCTTCTCCCACACATGAGATAAAATGTACAATTTGCAATATATTCTGAAAGATAACTCTATTCTCATGGACAAGGAGAGAAACACATGTTAGGCCAAAGGGGCTATTATAAAGCACAGATGATAATTAAAGAAAATCTCTTAGTGCTTTGTGTGGCAGTTCATGTACCATTCCTTGTTTCTTTTAACTCTCTGTTACTGGTAACCACACTCCTAAGTGAAAAATAATCACAGAAAGGCACAGAGACATTAATCACTGCAATGAAGGCATTAATGCAAAACAAAATGCATATTTTCCGGATGAAGAAATAAAAAGTAAAAAAAAAAAATCACTGTACATTTACTCATCTGTGTGTCCTGCAGCTAATGTGCTGCTCAAAATTTTGTCTTCAGACTTGGAAACAAATTCTAATAAGTGTTCAGTTATCAAATAACCTATTGACCATAATGGGTTTTCAGTGCTGCTACTGCAGTCTCAAGTTTCCTATGTAGTTTTGACCTAAATATGTTCCCTTTCGGGCAAATAGTATATGCCCTTATGCCATTTTCCTGGTTACATTTTAACATAGCAAGTGGTCCATCTTGTCCTTCAGTTAATTCATGAGCTCAATATAAACCACAAACAAATCAGCTGCAATTCACTCTGGCTTCTGCTGTTAGTACAGACAGTGGAGATAAACCAACAATAAATTCTATTTATGACTTATTTTCCCAGACTAAAACCAGCTACAACAGCACCTTTGCAACTGCAGAAAGTATTGTGGGAGGCACTTTCCGCAGGAGTGTGCGCTGTGCTGTAAAGCTTGTAACCTGCAAACATGACAAAGCTTTTCATTCAGCATCAGCCTGAGAAGGGCTGTACTGTCGCTGCGTAGCTCTTTATGCAAAAGGCACTGTAACAGCAGCCAGTCCTGCAATGTGATAGCAACCTCCAGCCAGTCCTGCAATGTGATAGCTGCCTCCAGCTCTCAAATCCCA